ATATTTTGGTTATTCATGTGAGTGAACGGCTGAGAGGAACGTAAGTGCGAGACACCTATCAGTTGACTAGTATTTGGGTTACTATTTGAATGCAATTCTGGGGCCGAATGTGCATTGGATTCAGTGGGAGGTGTTGTCGACGTGGCCTCTGCCCTCTCCACCGACTTATCACTACTTGAGCCCACTTTGTCTGTATAGCCATACAATGCCAACAACTCCTCCAAAGGCATCTCACCCTCCTGTCAGTCAACAAACAATTATTACAATTGAGTTTCAATTCAATCACAAATACTGTATTGCTTTCAATGGTTAGAGAATACAGAATATTCTGTCTATTATTTATAAGCATATAATTTGGGATCAAATGTGACAAAAGTCGCCAAAAGTATTATAATCAATCCATGCCTTCTGCAAGTCGTCGATCTCTTCGTCACCATTGGCGTCATCAGTGATGGCCTCTTCTTCATCGAGAGTGTGCTCGTCGTCGAAGTCATTGACCAACATATCAGCCGATGGATCAAAGTCTTGATCACTATCTGTCCCTAAATCACAAATAATACATAATTAATACAAACTTTGAAAACTTACGAAAATATGATAAAAGTGTCACTAATTAAAAAGTAATGAGAAATAAGAAAAAACTTGAAAACAAATACATCTGATATGAAAACAAACCATAATTTGATAGCAAAATAAACTCAAACCTAACGATAAGATCTACACTTGCAATGAAAGCAAGTTTAAAATACATGAAAAGCCATGAAAAATGATTAAAACTCCAATCAAAGAGTAATTGAAAAGAAATGAAAAGTTAATAAAACAAATGAAAAGTGGAAAAGTGGTAAAACAAGTGGAAAAGTGTGATTAAAGGGCAAAAAGTAGGTATTAATAGCGAGAAAAGTGCCGCAAATGATAGGAAAGTGTAACACATGAATGGGTACTGCAATGAGTGGTGTGTGGACTGACCCGCACTCGACTCACTAGCGCTGGGCTGTGGCGCCGACATAGTGTGCACTCTGGCGGTGGACCACTCGTTACGGTGCTCTCGGGTGGTCGCTGTGGTGTGTCTGTGGCGGTGCTGTCGTTGCAGTCAATGCATGGATGCCTGCGAGCAGTGGTGAAGCGGTCGAGCGGTGGTCAGCACTCGAGTCACACACAGACCTCATCAGCCATTGTTGTCAACAATCAATGAATGACTCAATGGTGGGGAACCGGAAACGAGTGCTGAGTCGGCGCACAACACACCCTTTTGGCGCTCATTTCAACACTATTTGACAGTATTTGCTGTGAAAATGTGACTCTCATTGCAGTCTGTGTTCATTGCATACACCGACCATGCAGTCAGAAGTTACTCGCGAGTAGACATCACTCACTTGTCTTTACTTATCATTCATTGCTATCATGCATATGAGTATAATAGTCCATATACTATAACATGGTTGGCTCGGGTGGTGGTGGCATGAGTGGACAGTATGTATGGTATTAATGGTAAACTGGTTTGTCATGATTATGAGTTCTCATTGCTAACATATTCATTGATTTAGTGGTCAAATAGGGTAGAAGTTTTGTACAGTGCATGTGTTTATTCATTTCCTAGCATTACTGTATAGTATTCAATTATTATTATATTATACATTTTTAATATTCAACTTACAAGCTTTAATTGATATTAACAATAACCTAAGATAAGTTAAATAAGCAATCAAGAATAATAGATGTTTCATATGAAACAAAGTTTTAAATTTTCAAAATATTTGTTTAATAAAATGAAAAACAAAAGAAATGACAGATTAGTATTGATTGAAAAATTATAATTAATGAATGTTTAAGTGCTTTGAGATTAAAATCTAATTTTTAAATTTAATTATTTCTAATGGGATGTCCTCTAAGGCTATAATCAAGTATTCAGTTAATTAATGACCAAAAGGTGTGCTTTTTTTCAGTTTAATCTTTTTATTTCATGTTTTGATTTAAAGATTGTTTTTATAAATTGCATATTTTTAATACTTCAATATTTTATATTATATTGAATAATAATTCAAAGTTTTTTTTATATATTTTGATTTATTAAAAATATTTATAATAAATCTTAAATTAGAGGCAAAATTATATTTGTATTCACATCAATAAAATTAGGTTTAATTTAAAATAATAAATTGCAATGAATGAATAAATTGAAATAATAATTTATTTTATACAACTTATTTTGTTGTACAGTAAAATTTGAAAATATATTACAAATTGTATATAAAAGACTAGAATAGATAAATAGTTACTAGAAATTATCGACTCATTATATTTATA